GAAAGAAAGAAAGAAAGAAAGAAAGAAAGAAAGAAAGAAAGAAAGAAAGAAAGAAGAGGTGTTACATGTCTACACCATTTTGTTCTGAACCAGTTGAAACTTCCATGGCCTTCAAGAAAGTGCCAAGTAGATCAAACTGCAATAGCTGAGCCATGTTGTGATGAGGGCACGAGTGACTGTCTTACAGCCTCTTGATCCAGCTCAACCAACATAGAAGACAGAATTATGCAAAGGCCTTCCTAGCCATAGCTACCACCTGTTCTTCCAACAGCAGCTATGAATCTAAGAAGATCTGCAGATTATACACTGGTCTTGAATAGGGAAGGGCAACTAAGATTCCAAGAAATCCTGGTTATGAGGGAATCAAATAACTACAGCCACTCAATTTTGATCAGTTTAAGCTGAAGGTGATTTTTTCCCCAGACTCCAGGCATTGAGATAGGACCTCGAGTGCACATCTTGGCCAGATGAGGATAAAAATATACTTTTTTGTATCATCAGCATATTGATGATACCAAACCCCAAACTGGTAGATGACCTCACCCAACAGTTTCATGCAGATGTTAAACAGGTTTCCATTAAATGAGGCAGACACCGCTCCAAAGGCCCAGCCACAGCATATCAAAATTAAGGCAAAATTAAACTATACTTTCATCATTTTGGGTAGCCTCTCTTAAAATAGACAGATCATCATAGGATTCATTCACATTTGCTCTTGGTTCAGTATCAATTATTTCTTGCATCCAGCCTTTCATAAAACTGCCCTGACATATAGAGAATGGGATAAATGGAATGGATGAAATAAAATAAAGTTATACGTTGGAATGATAAACCAGAAAGTTAGTGTGGGATTAAAATTGGTTTTAATGACTCTGTTAAAAATAGTATGGATCATATAGTGATTTTTTAATCAATTCAATTAAGGAAAAAAATTCAGAAAGCACTGCTGCAATAACAAGAGATAATTAAACATCTAAAAGAGTATTTTATAAATTCTATTAACTGGATTAGTAAGTGAGAAGTTGAATCTAATTGTTGTAGTTCTTATACTGATTTTTTTTTTAAAAAAGCTAAGATTCACTATAAAATATTATCAAAATGTAAATGAAAAGTATTATTCTTTGATATAATCATCTATAGTAAAGAATATTTTGACTACTGTAACTAGTAAGACTTTGGAGTAGGCTGCTCATGCCTCCAACTCCCAATGTTAAAAATGGGAATAGAAAACCTGTGGTCTCACATTTAAAATAGACATGAAAAGAAAGTGGAAAAAAAACATAAATACTGCCAAGTTGCAAAGTCTGTTCATTATTGGTTCTGATTCTGCCCATCATTGGCACTAAAAAGAATGCAAATCTTAATAGATTAAAAAAAGTCAAAGATCCACGACCCTATCTTCAAAATATGATATCTCTTTGCATTCCAAAAATCTGCCACAGCTTTCTGAATATACAATGGCATAGGCTCTCTCATGGGAAAAATAATGCAAACATCATTCTAGTCTTCTCAGGCTTCATAGACAATATAGAGAATTATGTCTCACGTAATGCAGTGAAATGCAATATAGGTAGTTCTCAACTTATGACCACAATGGAGCCCCAATTTTCTGTTGCTAGGCGAGACATTGGCTAAGTGAACTTTGCCCCACTTCCTGACTTTTCTTGCCACAGCTGCTAAGTGAATCACTGTAGTTGTGAAGTTAGTAAAAACGTTTGTTAAGTGAATCCGGCTTCCCCATTGACTTTGCTTGTCAAAAGGTCATCGAAGATGATCCCATGACCCAGGAACATTGTGACCATCATAAATATGAGCCACATGCCAAGCATCTGAATTTTGATCACGTGACCATGAGGGAAGCTGCAATGACGCATGAAAAATGTTCTTGTCACTTTTTTCAATACTGTTATAACTTTGGTCACTAAATGAAATTGTTGTAAGTCTAGGACCGCCTGTACAATATAGACCCAGTTTGGTTTAGTGATTAAGACACCATGAGGCCAGAATTTTAGGTAAAGGTTCCCCTCCCACATACATGCTAGTTGTTTCTGGCTCAAGGGGGCAGTGCTCATCTCCATTAACAAAGCCGAAGAGCCAGCACTATTCAAAGACGTCTCTGTGGTCATGAGGCCGGCATGTCTAAACATCAAAGACGCACGGAACGCTGTTACCTTCTTACCAAGGTGGTCTCCATTTTTCTTCTTGTATTTTTACGTGCTTTCGAACTGCTAGGTTGGAAGAAGCTGCGACAAGTAACGGGAGCTCACTCCATTACGTGGCACTAGGGAGTCGAACTGCCAAACTGCCAACCTTTCTGACCAACACTATCTTAGCCACTGAGCCACAGCGTCCCACTCAGGCCAGAATTCTAGTCCCATCTTAATTATGAAAGCCGGCTGAGTGATATTGGGCCAGTCACTCTCTATCTCTAGCTCACCTCATAGGGTTATTTTTTGTGGGAAAAATAGGAGCTAAGAGAATTAGGTATGTGCACCCCCTTTATAAAAATAATAAAAGAGGAATAAAATTTAATAAATATGATGATAATGATGACAACGTCATCTATGGAGATTGTCAATCATCCAGATCACAGTTGTCCCAAAGGTGCTTTTTCAAGAGGCAACTGGACTTTCTGGTTTTTCTTTGAAGACATTTCGCTTCTCCTCCAAGAAGCTGAAGAAGCTTCTTGGAGAAGCAAAACATCTTCAAAGATGATGATGATATGATAGGCTTTCTTATCTTATTCCAGCTTCCCACAACAGAGAAAAAGTTTGAAGAACTGAATACTTAATACAGGGTTCAAGGACCTAAAGAAAGAGGTGAATTTGGTTACCTCTTCAAGAAAGTAAAAAGTATCTTCCCGCAACATGTAGACTTTTTACCCATATGACTCACCTACATCTTCATCCAGTTTAGTTTTAGGGGGCTCCCATGGAGGCCTGGCAGCTTTGGCCTTTGCTTGACGCTTTCCTAGCTCTTCTTCAAATTTTTCATACAAATCTCTGAGCCGGCTCGTACCCACCACTGTGGAATCCCCCTTGCAAATGCAACCATGGGAAAACAGAAAAAGTTACAGCTATTTTGAGAGGATAGGGATCTGCTGAAAGCAATCTGGCTATTTAAAAACAATCTCCCCTCATGCAAATCATTTATATTGGTGCTGGCATGTAAACATAGCTATTCCACCACAGAGTAATACTTAACATCCACCCAGCCTTGATCACTAATGCAGAGTAATAAATATGTGGGGAAATGGTCTGCTCCATACAGATGGACATGAGAGATCATCTGCTCTCTGTGGTTTTGTGCCTCCTGGATAAACAGCAGCAAAAGCATTTCCAAATTGTAAACAGCACGCAATGCAAGTGTAAATTGTTATTTTGTGAAACAATCATAAAATCCCATTTATAATAAGCTGCAACCAAACATAAGGTAATAACTGACGGGTAGGACTGCAGGATTTCCTTATCCAAAAAGGCCTTTTATAACTGCATACAGAAAGCCCTCATTTACCAACTTTCAGAAATCATTAAAAGTTATAATGGTGCTATCCTTCAGTTACATGATCCCCAGTCATGTATTCACCATTACACCCAATATTTATTGTTGTTCCTTTGCAGAGCAGAGAAATTGGAGAAAAGGGGATTACAAGAGAATAACAAGGCACACAATGGGGAATACACCAGCTTTTAGTTGAGCGTGCTTAAGGGTGCCAGCGCACCACATTGCTTTTGACATGTGTTCCATGTTGTATCCTTAGTTACTCTCTTGTAATACCTTTCTCTCTATGAGGGAAAGAAGAAGTAAGCAATTTCTGTAGGCAGGTGCTTAACGCATCAGGCTAGAAGCCAGGAAACTATGAGTTCTAATCCCACCTTAGGTATGAAAGCTGGCTGGGTAAATTACACCAGTCACTTTCTCTCAGCCCAATTCACCTCACAGAATTGTTACTGTGGGGAAAATAGTAGTAGTATTGTAAATGTTCGCCACATTTTTATTTATAAAAACGAGGGCAGGATAAAATAAAATAAGTCTCCTGTGCCTGACCCTTTGCATCTTGCTCACAGAGCTGAGAAAATGACAGGAGAAGATTATTGGACAGTAAGTAGGCACTGGGCTGTGTATTTTTATTTTATGAATATCCCTACTTTATATGTCCGTAAACCTAAAAAAAAAAAATGCAAGGTTTAAAGTGATATCCCATATTTCTCCCAAAAGTGATGTTCAAAGCAGTTCACAAAAATGGTATACAGATCAAGTGTAAAACTATAATTAAAAGTTTAACATTAAATTCAATTTGACAAAAAGAATCAATGTGGATAGTTTAACCTCTGATGAGTTTTTTTTTTTTAAAAAATACATCTGATTTTTAATTGTAACCTCAAGCTTTAGTCAAACCTTTTCTCCAACCAACTCCTTGCTATGGAAAAAAAAAAGCCCATCCAATAACTGACATTGTAATCCAATAAATGATACAGCTGCGGTATAATAATAATAATAATAATAATAATAATAATTATTATTATTATTATTATTATTATTATTATTATTATTATTGATGCCCCTGGGCTCAAAACTACAATTCTGTAGCCATGCACCTGCCCTATCTTATTTACTTGGTATACATACAAATACCAGGCATCCTTAATTATTTCCATTAGCTAATATAAACTCTAATTAAAGATATGTAACATTCACAATCACAAGTAATCCTCATTGAGCAACTGCCTCACTAGGGAACTATTTTCTCCAACCAATGCATGCCCATGTGCCAAAAATTCTGCACCTGATAACAACGCATGCCAGAGTAACACTGGCATTGTTGCATGAGAGAACTTTAGCTAAATAACATGGCAACAGCCAGAAATTTCCACAAGTCTCCCACTCTCTCTTCTGGTAGTAATCATGTCACTTAGGGACTATTTTGGTGGAATTAATTGTGAATGCTAAATGAGGACTACTAGCAGAGAGTTTGGATTATGTATGCATGTACCATAACAGTGATCAGATTTGGTTGCCAAGAAATTTTGTTTGGGTTGTTTTCACAGCATTAGCATTAAGGGAACATACAGAATGGAAAGTTGTAATTGTTAAAAGATTTTAAAGGGAAGGTTTTAAGTTGGACAATCTCATGTTGGTTGAAACCAGGATAAATGGGGAGACGATACACAGAATAATCCAGCTTTTCTTGGGCAGCTCAATATATTTGAGCCCCCAAATCCTTTATTAAATGCAAATATATTTGAGCCCCCAAATCCTTTATTAAATGCACAGAAGAATATTTCTACTTTTTCTGGAAGTATATCGTTTGCTTGTCTTATATTCCAATCGGTACTATTTTCTTGGTGAGAGTGCTAACATCACAGCAGACTGAATGGTCATTCCATGAAAAATCGTATTATATTTTATTCCATAGTTCAGAGAATGAAGGATCCTAAAATTAACTATAATTAGCTATGGAAACTAAACTTCATATTTTCCCTCCTTTTCTGCAGACCATGAGAAGACTCTGGGAGATTGGTAAATTCTTCCTGTAACATAGCAAAATAATGTGTAGAAAGAAAGTGGAAGAGAATAAGACATTGACCTAAAATCAGACACCTGTCCCATCACAACAATTTTGAGTAATGTTCTGAAAGTCATAGCCCAACACTCCAGAGAAACCTTATGGTGAGTTGAGAGAGCTGCAGAAGGCCTGGGGAAAAATTATTTCCTGTTCTTCTTCAGTCACTTTTATTTATAACCCAAGTAATTGGTTGCCAGAATTCCTCAGAATACATACCACTTGATCCATGGGATCATTTGAATAGTAGCTTTCTGAATGGGTACAACGAACCCACACTGGCTTCAGTAGATCCTCATCTTCTTCCTCGTTCTTTTCACCTGTAGCCTCTTCTGGCTCTTTGTCCTTGATGGAGGTGTAACTCTTCTCTCGACTGGCATTTTCTGACCACCGCTCCCTGTCCTCTTCCCAACGGGGTTTCTTTCGGTCCTGGCTGGGAGATCGACTGTGCAAGAAGGGAAGGAAATAAAAGTCCACATTTAATAGCAAAACTGACCCCGGTTCACATGTAAATACACTAGTGCAGTGGTGGCAAACCTTTTTCAGCTCCCTTGCCGATAATTCTGCTCGCAATGCGTGCTGGCCCCACCCCCCGTGCATGTGCGCACGATCCTCCTGCAGCGTGCTGCGTGCCTGCGCATGCGATCCCCTTGCCGCGCTCCATACGTATTCACATATTATCCCCCTCCTGTGCGCCATGCATCTCTGCGCCTGCTTGCGTGATTCCCCCGTGCGCCATGCACCTGCGATCACCCCTCTACACACTGCGCATCTGCGCCTGTGTGCACAATCACCCCTTGCGCCATCATCTTCGCATGTGCGCGCGATCCCCTCTGTGCATGCACATGTGTTTCCCGCGCACCCCCGCACCGCCCCGTGCATGCATGCCAGATACCCGACACTCAGCTGATGGGTGGCGACGGTGCATGCACATGTGCAGTGGGGCTCTTCTGGACAAACTTTCACGTGCCGAGAGAAATGGCTGTTCTGTCCCAGCCGAAGTTTCCGAAAGCAAACACAGATAAACTCCAAAACTGAAACGTTCACGGCTTTATTCCACAAAGAACCAGCCCTCTTTGTAGATAACAGATGGCTTGCAGCCAATTAGTCCAATAAATCAGAGTCTGTAATCATCACACTAACTCCTTCAAACTTTTGCCTTTTGCAAAAGCCATTTGTAACCAAGCTTATATTCCCTAGTGGGAGAGGCCATTAATTAGCATTCTTACTCCCAATTCCCCTGTGTTGCTCTTCCACAAATCATCCTGCTCTCACTCATACCCAGAACAGGCTTCTCGGGAATGACCTCCTGATTGCTGCTGGCGAACCACAGCAATGGCTCTGCATGCCACTTCAGGCACGTGTGCCATAGGTTCGCCATCACAGCATTAGTGCCTCATAAAAAAGGTAGCCATAAGATCTCGGGACAAACTGTGTTTCAATTAAGGGGATGCTGACAAAACCGCCAGTCATACAGCCAGTTTAGTGTAGTAGTTCAGGTGCTGGATTAGAAACCAGGAGACTATGAGTTCTTGTCCTTCCATAGGTATGAAAGCTAGCTGGGGGATTTTGAGCCAGTCATTTTCTCTCAGCCCAACCCATTTCACATGATTGTTATTGTGTGTTGGGGGGGGGGGGCAGCGTTATGTACGCTGCCTTGAAGAGTAGAAAATAAAAACAGAAGATAGATTTAATTAATAACAGTGTCATTCCACTTCAAAATGCCTTATCATATCCTCCAAAGTATACCATATTTAAGAGTTAGGGCGAGCATAAAGACAGGGCAATCATAAGAGTTTTCTTCTTACATATACCACTCCTCCTAGTACAAGGCAAAACTAATGTTACCTTGTCTAAGCTAACTATTCGGATATGTTGTCTTCATATCCATTATGCCTAGCCAAGATGGATGAAAAAATAGGAAGATGCTAGCTAAGTCTAACACTTGCTCACGTGAGATGGTATTCTGAAAATAAAGAAACAAACCAAAAAAAACCCTAACAGTCCACTCAATACTAGTCTTCACTTACCATTTGAACTTACGCAGACCCCCAATGATCCTCACAGATAACACTCAATTTACAATTGTTCACTTAGCTAGTGTTCAAAGTTACAACGGCACTGAAAAAAAAGGGGGGATTTATAACCAGTCCTCGTGCTTACAACCATGGTCATGTGACCAAAAATTCAGGTGTCTGGGGACGGGCACGTATTTGTGTGGGTGACAACATCCTGGGATCGTGCAAGCGCCCTTTGTGGCCAAGCAAAGACAATGGGGGAAGGCCAGATTTACTCAACAGTTGCAGTCATTCTGTTGTAGCCTGTCGGCTGCCAGCAGCTGAATCAGAGGAGGAAGAGGCATGGGAGTCAGAGTCAAGGCAACCTGAGAGCTCTGAGGGGGAAGAGGGAATGGAGCTGGCAGAGAGAGAAAGAGAGAGAGACAGAGGCAGAACCAGGGCCATCATCAGCCCTCAGATGGTGAGTCAACAGCCCCCGGGGTCTGGAGGTGGCTGATGAAGAAGAGGTGGAACAGCTGGGTCCAGTGCCTGACATGGGGATGTGCAGAAGGCAGAGGAGAGGAGAGCAGTGGAAATCCACGGGCCGATCCTTGGGAAGGAAGAGCCACCCCTGCTAGCGAAGCCCCACTCTAGCTCTGGGAATAAAAGGCAGGGGGCGGAGATGAATAGATGTGTTAGACAACTATTTATCTCCCTGCCGGACAGACAGACTTGTTAGCCTGCGGTGAGAGAGAAACTTTTTGCTGGGGCTCCTAATAAAGGAATCTTTGAGTTAACTTCAGAGGGTTTGTCGTGTTTGGGGAGCTGGGTCAGAGCACCTTCACTTAACAATGGCAAAAAGATTGTAAAGCCAGGTGCAATGGAAATTCCAGCCCCAATTAAAAGCCACAGCCTACATACACAGTACCTACAACCAGGGGTGGGATTCTACCGGTTCGGTGATTACCAGGTGCGCAGCATTTGAAAAAGCACCATTTTCCTGCTTTTTCAACCTCAGCTGTGCTGCGCAAAGCAGCTGAGGTTGAAAAAGCAGGAAATAAAGGTCAGGTAACAGCCCAGGTGGGCGGGTGGGCCAAACAGCAGCAGACACAGATTCTATATCACGGTTCTATGTCTGCTGCTTTTCAGAGCTACCAATTCTATACAGCCAGGCAGAAATGGTAGCATCCCACCCCTGCCTACAACTTGTCCTTAAAGTTTTGACTACCATCACACCCAGTGACATGATCACATTTCAGGTGTTTGACAACTATCTCGCATTTGCAACTAGTTGCAGTGCTCTATGATCCTGTGGCCATAATTTGTGATGGTTTTTTTGTCTGTTTCCAAATTCTGACAAAAAGAAAGCCCATTAAGAAGAACAGATTTTCTTAACAACCATCTGGTTCATTTAACAATCATGAAATTTGCTTATCGACCACAATGGATCAATTTGTGACCATCATAAAAACGGTCAGAAGATCAAATCACATCATGCAGAGAGTCGCTTAACCATGACAACGTACGACCAAAATTCCGGCCTCGGTTGTGGTTGTTAAGTGAGAACTGGCTATAGCTCCTTAGAGTCAAACATCTTACCTTCCTGTTCTTTTGTGGTCTTTCCTATAGGACTTTTCTGTAGATGGCGATCGTCGACTATCCCGGTGCCTGTGCCTTTCCCTTTGATGTTCCCTTTAAGAATATTAAAAATAAATACAATTCTCAGTATGCAGAAACTTTCAGGTCTGAAAATACATGGGGAGAACCAGAAGGGAATAGATTACCAACCTAAAAGCTCTGTAGTGCATCGCTTTTCCCCATGTCACATATAATGTGGTATCTGCTAAAAATTTTGCTTTCCCCCCCTTAATCTCATCTAGTTCACACTCATTGATTTGAATGAGGATTTGAAGAAAGAAACCAGACTATAATGAGTACAGTGGTTAGAGTGCAGTACTGCAGGATACTTCTGCTGACTGCTGGCTGACTGCAATTTGTCAGAACAAATCTCACCAGGCTCAAGGTTGACTCAGCCTTCCATCCTTCTGAGCTGGGTAAAATGAGGACACAGATTGTTGGGGGCAATGTTCTGACCATGTAAAACCGCTTAGAGGGGGCTGTGAAGCATCGTGAAGTGGTATATAAGGGCTATTTCTATCACTACAGACACTATAAAAGACGACCCTGGGATGACTCTGGTGGATCTGAAGGAAGCAGTGCGAGACAAAGGGACATGGAGAATGCTGATCCATGGAACAGCTAAGGGTCAGACATGATTGAATGGCTGATAATGATGACGACGTATGAAGCCTCAGAAGAAGTAAGAATTGCTGCTTTATTCTCAGCTCGTTTACAATGCAACACCAAGATCAACAGCAGCCTTTTCAAAGAACAGTTGCCATTATGTGATCTTGCATGAGGGTATGGGCGCCCACCAATACAAATCTCTCCAAACTTTACAACATGATTACATTTCAACAGATGAAGATTTTATGTGAGGACACCAAACGTTCATGAGATTCAGGTACTTGGTAAAATTTCTTACATTTTTAAAAACCAATCGTAATTTAGAATTGGGCATGGATATCGTTAAGAGCACCAAATACGGCAAAAGGGAGAAAGATAAGGCAGATGCTTCTCCAGAAGAATGCAAGCTACCCAAATTACCAACGGGTTCTACTCACCTATTTCTATACATCTGCTGATTCTATCTTGGTCTTTTAATTTTAGCAATGTGACACTGAAGAACCATCTGATCAGAAACTAGTATACACTAAAACAGCACAACGAAGGGCGAGTAAGAGAAGGGAACGCTTCAAAAACCTTTGTTTACTATGACAGAAGGAAAGCTAGACCTGGATGAACACAATGAATCTTAAAACTTCTGAGAATCTGGAACTACAAATAAAACAGGATGACAAGGAGACATGGTGACATGAACTGAACACGAACCCTCTGGACTGAATGTTCCCAAGCATCTTTACTCCTTATTCTTCAGTTCTGAATTTCTGGGATATTCTGCCTTTGAATCACTAAGGAAACAAAGTCAAGAAAAATAGCTATTGGAGAGGCAGTGAACAATTAACAGCGAAAGAGCTGCACCTGAATTTAAAGAGAAGATGCTTACTTAAGAGTATTTTGACAACTGCAAAAGTGTTAGAGATGTTGGTAATAGCTTAGACGTCTAACTAAATGGGCTTATGTTGCCTTTCTTTTCTCTTTGTTATGGATAGTAGTTTTATTTGTTTATTTTATTTTTGTATTGAAGAACGGGTCAACCTATTCGCCAAAGCACCTGAAGGCAAGACAAGAAGCAATGGATGGAAACTAATCAAGCAGGGAACCAGCCTAAAACTAAGGAGAAATTTCCTGACAGAGCAATGAAGCAGTGGAACGTCTTGCCTCTAGAAGTTAATGATAATGATAAAGCTACAAGAAGAAAAACAGAATAGAAAGTTTTGTTTTCTTCAATCCCCTCTTTTTAAAACATTACAACATGTACTACACTATTCCTTTGTTTGAATTTCTAGTTTGGGTCTTGGGTACTTCAGATATAAACAATCAATGTTCATGCAAAAAAAGTATATTTGGCTGATATCATGCAGAAAGTTTATCAGTTCTACATTAAGTATTCGACTGAAATAAGTGATTTAGTAACTACACATTTAACCAGTGCAACAGCGATCACATAACTTTATCTAGAGCTATAACTTAGCAAAACCAACAGGCATTAAATCAGAGAGCTCTTCCATTTCTGCGTTTCATTCTCCTCAGAGTCTGGATATCGAGTAAGATTGGCTGTTGTGAGTGCTCCAACACTGCACGTTTTTAAGAAGAGATTGGACAACGATTTACCTGAAATGGTACAAGGTTTCCTGCACGGGCAGAGTATTGGACCACAAAACATCCAAGGTCCCTTCCAACTCTATTATTCAATTTTTCTGTATACTTCCGCTGATCATTCAAGTTAGTATTACGTTTAGAAATCTGTCAATATTGTCAAACAAGTGTTACCCGCCAATGAATGCAAACTTGTGTGTACCCAGATATCTGTGAGGTTCAAAAAGAAGCAACAAATAGGAAGTCATTCTTCTGTAAACTGCAAAGTATGGACTACAGGTAGTCCTTGACTTACAACCACAGTGGAGCTCAAAATTTCTGTTGCTAAACACATTTGTTAAGTGACTTTTACAACCTTCCTTGTCACAGTTGTTGATTTTGCTTGGCAGGAGGACACCAAAGGTGATCACAAGACCCCAGAATAAATATGAGTCACTTGCCAAGTGCCTGAATTTTGATCAACTGGTCACCTGCAAGAGTCGTAAGTGTGAAAAGTGGTCGTAAGTTACTTTTGTCCAGTACCATTGTAACTTTTGAACAGTCACTAAATGAACTGCTGTCAGTCGAAGGCCACCTGCAGTTTCCCACAACTAGCAGAACTACCACGTGTGACCTCAGTGCCAATAAAAAATAAGACAGAAGAGCTGAGAAGAATAGCACCATGGATAATCCAGATTACCTGTACCATTCATAACTCCGATGGCGAGGTGGGGTTCTTCCTCTGACATAATCCGATCTGTGACGGCTATTTTCTGCCCGCCGGCGATCTGGGCTCCTCCCTCGATCCCGCCGGTCCCCGTGATTAGTGGACCGATGCCTGTCCCCATGTCCGTGTCCGTGGTCCCTGTGGCGGTGTTCGTCATAATATTTGCTCCTCTCCGGAGACCTCCGGTCAGTCTGAGATTTTTCCAGCAGGTATTCACTTGGATGCCGGAAGTTACTGCTGGTGCTACCGCTGCTATTAGCGCTACCACTGTTGCTTTGATAAGAGTTTGCACTGTGTTGGTAGTTATTATAGTTAGGAGGCGAAAAGGTCTGCTGGGAGTAGCCTGGAGAATATGTGGGCTGGTAATTTACCTGTTGAGTCATTACTGGTGGAGGCATGGGATGTGATAGGGATGGAGGTGGCATCATGTATGGGAAGGTGTTTTGACCAGTTGCATTGGCTAGAACGGGCGGGTTACCAGGATTTGGGACAGGGGGAGGAGCTGGGGGAAAACAAGGAGGAAGTGGGAAAGTCTGCCTCATTTGAGGGCCTGAAAAAGGAGGTCGGGGCGGACATTGGGCGATTGAACTTTGAGGCGAAGGGGGGATTGGTGGGGGATACGGGACAAAATCCGGCCTAGGAGGGACATAGTTTGGAGTTGGAGGGCTCGCATAGAGGGAGGTGGTAGCAGGTTGCTGATCATACTGATACTGGATTGAAGACTGCTGAGGATGTAGCTGCCTCAAGTTTTGGGGGCGAAAGGTTTGCGACGAAGCTCGGACAGTAGCTCCTCCTCGGCCTCGGGGGCACCCACGCCCGGAATGAAAAGACATTACCCAGCTAGAAAGAGAAGAAGGGGAGGCAGGAGAAAACAATTTTGTCACATTTCTTTGAGTTAAGATAGGGAAGAGCTAGGCACCTTAGCAGCAGGCCGTGAAAAGGAGCCCATGCTGCAATATTTTAATAGTGCCCATTGATTTCACTATACATTTGTTTGCGTAATGTGAAAGTCACTACTCAATGTTTTGGTGAAAAATTAAACTACAAAATCACTCTCTCTGAGAACTTAAAAAATATTTAGATAATATCATCTAATATTATTATTGAGCTGTGATGGCACAGTGATTACAATGAAGTATTACAGGCTAATTCTGCCGACTGCCAGCAGTTCAAACCTGGCCAACTCAAAGTTGACTCAGTGTTCCATCCTTCCCAGGACAGTAAAATGAAGACTCAGATTGTTGGGGGCAACAGGCTGACTCTGTAAACTGCTTAGAGGGAGCTGTAAAGCACTGTGAAGCGGTAGATAAGTCTAAGTGCTAGTGCTATTGATATTATTATTATTATTAATTATGTATATTTATTTTGAAATAGGTAGGTGATTATTCTGAACATAAGCACCATTATTCATACCTGTATTCACTGCATGTTTGAAGCTGCATATCTGCTACTCACCTATGCGCTTTGGTGCTTACAAATCTACATAAAGGTGAAGGTTCCCCTCGCACATACATGAGAGCCATTTCCGGCTCTAGGGGGCGGTGCTCATCAAAGCCAAAGAGCCAGCGCTGTCCGAAGATGTCTCCATGGTCATGTGGCTGGCATGACTAAATGCCAAAGGCACACAGAATGCTGTTACTTTCCCACCAAAGTTGTTCCTATTTTTCTACTTGCATTTTTTACATGCTTTCGAACTGCTAGGTTGGCAGAAGCTGGGACAAGTGACAGGAGCTCACTCCGTTACCCGGTGCTAGGGATTCGAACCACAGACCTTTCTGATCGACAAACTCAGTGTCTTAGCCACTGAGCCACTGTGTCCCTTTCACAAATCTACAAATCATAAAATCATATAATCTTTCAAATGGCATTTCCAGCATTTTCAGTAATATCTTCCTGCAGGTTCTTAAGAAAAGACTCAACCACTACCAAATGTAACTATTAATTCATAAGGGACACTTTTAGATTTTGCAATCTAAAACCTTAAAAATATTAGCTTGGAAATAAATCCTGCTTCTCTTTTTGCAATTTGTTTCTGACTGAGCATGCATAAGTCTGCATTCTAAATTATATTACACTTATTAGCTTTAATTTAAAAAAAAATCTTGTTCACCATTTGTTTAGGTTATGTATATCTTCGATTACCGTTTGGTAACTCTAGGATACTATGACCGACAGTTTTTAGCTTTAACGTCCAAAGAGATTATACATTTGATGGCTCTCTGTCTTACGCAGGGTTTGCTCTTTAAAGACCTCCACCTTTTCAAAAGAAAAACATGCGTGCTTCCGGTTTTAAATCGGGGAGGGGAATACGATAAGCAAGTTGCAAATGGGAAATTCCAAGTGTTCAATATCAGAGAAGCCATTTCTTGCACTATGTATTTCCAACATCGTGCACGGCTTTTAAACAAGGGCAAAAATAGCTGCGTTCTCAAACGTCAGACATCACCTCTTCCACCGAAACAAAGACGACAGAAAAATCACCCAAGTCCTACTTAGCGTCGTAGAGCCATTACCTCCCTATCAAAGAGTCCCGTGCAACTTTTAGTTTACCTGGAAACATTCCTTTTGACATGCCACAACGCAGAACTTAGGTACCGGCAAAGACAGAGCAAACGTGCGCGGAAAAACCCTTACACCGGAAGAAAACACTTGGAAGGAGGAGCTCTGTGCATAGTGTCCAAACGGAAGCTCGGGGAGGGAAAATGTTTCTTTTCTTTTTTCTAACAAAGGAGAAAAGAACCAGGGAAACTTATGATGAACGAGTTAGTGATGAATGACACTAGAATATTTTGGAGAGTCCTGGCAGCCAAGATTCCTTGTCCTAAAAAATGGAATAATCTCATCATGCTCACGCTCCCGCCTCCTTTCCTTTCCCAACATGCCTAAGTGTGTCACGTCTAGACGCGTCCCCCACCCCCACCCTACCCTTCGTTCTCTTTGGAACACGACCAGGGTTGGGATTCCGGGCTTAGAACGTAGAACGTAGCGTTTCTCAGCATTCGATGCCCCTCCCGCGCTGAAGATCTCGGGCGTTCTCTTTTAGAACCTTCGATGTGTCCCGAGCGTTCTGTGTGACCTCAAAGCTGATCAAAATGAGTAGCGGCGGCGGCGGGGAGGAGCAGAGCGTTGGACACGAGAGCAGCGGGGGCAGCTCCCTCCGCACCTACCCGAAGTTGCCGGTTTGGGTGGTGGAAGATCATCACGATGTAAGTTTTAAAAGCCGGCCGGCAGATGGTTTCGTCGGCACTTCGCTAATGCGCGATGCGTTGTGAAAATTCGGGGAGCAGCTTCAAAGAAGTCGCGGGACCGATTGTTGTTGAGTGTAGTTGGCAATTTGAAGTTGAAAACCTCAATACTTTGTGTGACCGCTTGCACTTTGCCATACGCAAAGATGCTTTGATCAGAAGTCTTCTCTCTTAGCCCCTCCCCCCCCCCACAAGGTTGCCCTTATCTGGTCCCCAGTCCAAGAATGAAAACGTACCAATTTTAACATAGCATCCCCCCCTCACTCCTTACACTGAATTCTCCTTACACTGAAATTACCCCACCGTGGCTTCAAAACTGTCACACTTTTGTTAACCTTTTCCTTTTTATTTATTTATATTAACAATATATTATTATTAATTAATCTTGGAAACCAGGTTTGCTGACTTGTAATGGGTGTAAACCAGTGTGTTAGGGAAATCTATGGTCACTTTCCTTTCCCAAAATATTTTATAAAGTGATCAGGCTTTCACTAGGAAAGTCTGGGTTTTTTTTCCCTGTAGAGTTCACTTTTAGCAACGATCTGGAACATTGAGATTTTCTTTTAACCTAGTTGGAGTTGAAGAGGAATATCCTTGCACTTTTGTGCTTTGACATTGTTCTGAAACACAGTTTTAACTTTACAGGTGGCAGCCCCGTTTTTTCTTCACTGCGGTGCCTCTATAAGTAATTTTTAGGCCATCTTTATTTCATGAATAGCAGTTAAACTCGATAAGAGCCTGAGTATCTTTTAGTCAATTCAGGGTACTTGGTACTTAGGACTGTAGTATTACTTAAGAGTGAGTTTTACTGATCTTGAGTTATATAACAGGACATAAGAACTTCGCTGCTAAGATGATTGGTGTGCTGTCCCAGCCAGTCTATGGGAATTGAATAATTACTTAGGAATTATGAGCTGTCCCCTTAAGGGAATGCATCATGGTAAATGTAGTTAAAGGTATCCTGGGAAATGTAGTTCATGTCACGTGGCCACATCTGATTGGCCACTAATTTGACCCTGGAGGGGTTGGGGGAGTTTTCCTCACTTTTGCCTGAATTCTCTAACTCATGGCAGCTGCTTTCTATCTCTACAAGATGGGTTAGGAGATAACCATCTTTTACTTTTCTGTCTTCTGCACAGTGGTGGATTTGTAAGGTGTGCAGATGCAGATAGATAAACTCAACAAGATGTCCATAACGAAGTACATTTATTAGTTCATCAGGTATCCTCATAACTCACATTTGTGACAAAGTTCTTCTTTAATGACCAATTCTTTGTATATCTGTCTTGTAGGTAAAAGATGGTTATCTCCTAACCCATCTCGTAGTGATAGAAAGCAGCTGCCCTGAGTTAGAGAATTCAAGCAATAGTGAGGAAAACTCCCCCAACCCCTCCAGTGTCAAATTATTGACCAATCAGGATTACAGATGTGGCCACGTGACATGAACTACAATTCCCAGGATACCTTTAACTACATTTACCATGATGCATTCCCTTAAGGGGACAGCTCATAATTCCTAAATAACTATCCAATTCCCATAGCCTGGCCAGGACAGCATAATTGGGATGAAGTCAATTATTTCCAGGCATCCCTATCCCTCTTTCTGATGACATTTTTGGCCAACCTGATGAATAATAAAGTTTATCCATAGATTTCCTTGCACTAAAACACCTGCAATGCTGTCATTCCAGGTTCTTCCCTTCATTTACCGAGCTATTGGCTCGAAGCACCTTCCTGTTAGCAACATCAGCTTTGTTCATTTGGACTCCCACCCAGATCTCCTTATTCCAGTGGACATGCCTGCAGATACTGTGTTCGACAAAGAAGCTCTGTTTAGGTACGATGATTCAGTGGTGTTGACTGGGTAGAATTTTAGCTTAAGTGCATCTAGAATTGTTAGCTAAATGTGGGGTTTTTTTGTGCCTTGTTCTTGGAATGCACTGAAATTACACAGACATGTGATTAAAAAAAAACCTATTCAGCTCACATTACATAATCAAATAATGAAGTAATCGGGGCGAAACGTTTACGTTCTTTAAGCTTTATGATTTTGTTTTATGTCTTTTACATAAATGGCCAGACGGGGGCGTCCAAAGTTCATACTAAGAATTCTACTTACCTAAGACTTGGTACAATACTAGCCATCCTGCCCTTTATTTCTGAGAAGTCAGTTCTGTTGCTTTATGTAGAACAACATGATGTGGTCCCAAAGGGTTTTTTTTTTTTCAAGAGGCAACTGGACTTCCTTGTTTTTCTTTAAAGAGGTTTCGCTTCTCATCCAAGAAGCTTCTTCAGCTCAGAAGAAGCTTCTTGGATGAGAAGCGAAACCTCTTCAAAGAAAAACAAGGAAGTCTAGTTGCCTCTTGAAAAAAAAAACACCTTTGGGACAGCTATGCCTTGGATGATTGAGAATCTCCATAAACATGATGAAGTTTGTACATCGTTTAAGAAGGAAGCCCCATAATGAAATGAGGGTGGACCACAGAATGACGATTGATAATGTAATAAGTAGAAATGAATGCTTTGGAACCTAACAACTGAAGAATAGACAGGAGCACTGAACACTGCAATGTTTTTGCTACAGGTCCTGTAATTTTACATGCTAAGTATATCAGAATTCTCAAAGAACTGTGAGGTTTCCAGAATTATAAAAATGCTTCATAGAAAGATTGCACTGCAGGGAGCTGAAGAGCAAACCATTTGCATGCAGTATTTAGCATACACTACCTACGATATGTCTACACATATATAGAATGATGAATAGGAACATCCAGAATGCAACATTTCATGGTAGGATCCTGCCGTAAAATGGTAGTCCTTGACATACAACAGTTTGTTTAGTGACCTTTCAAAGTTACAATGGCACTGGAAAAAAAGTGACTTATGACCGTTTTTCACACTTACAAGCTTTCCAGCATCCTCATTGTCACATGATCAAAATTCCAATGCTTGGCTACTGGTTCCTATTTATGACGGTTGCAATGTCCCAGGGTCATGTGATCACCTTTTGCAATCTGAAAAGCAAAGTCAATGAGAAAACCAGATTCATGTGCTCTGTACATGTTTCATTATTTATGTATTGGAGGAAAACCCAATAAAGTTAGCAATGTATTGGATGAACCAAATGGTTTCTGCACACTAAGGCTATAAATAAAAAAATATTACTACCATTTTCCAGTTTTTTTTATTTAGATAGATAGATAGATAGATAGACAGACAGACAGACAGAGACAGACAGACAGACAGACAGACAGACAGATATGGTATAATAATGTATATATACTATTAAGTGTTGTAAGTCATGCTGATCATTAAGCAGGGTTAAAGTTAGGGTTAAAACTTCAAGTCATAAGTACTTTTTGGGGTCTGTTGTAACTTTGAATAGTCACCAATTCAGTTCAATTCAAATCTTTATTATCAATGCACAACAAGTGTACAGTGAGATTGGATGAGCCTTCCTTAATGTACTCCTCCCCAACATAAATACATCTCAATAACTCACAGTGAAAGAAAGAAAATCCTAACCCAGTGGATCATACTAACAGACACCCAATCCTATACACATATATATGCTTAACATTATATTATATTATACTGCACCAGTGTAGACATATTGCACATTGTGCTGGCCCTGCAAGTCTATCATACTAAATAGAAAGAGCAAATGATTTTTTATAATTTAAGGACTACTTGTATGCTTTTTCTCAGTTTTAAAAAGTATCTTTGAACAGTACCGATTTTGTATCTAACAAAAGCATTCTAATATTTCTTAGCCGGGTTTATTTTCGTATGGGCAAGTATGTTGCCAATACTGTTTGGTTTTTTAAAAAATGTCACCTCTACCCAGGTTTCTAAGACATTTCAGCCCATATTTATCCTTTGTTCTTTTACAGTGAACTAAGCATTGAAAACTGGATTATGCCTGCTGTTTATGCTGGTCATTTTTCACAAGTAATATGGCTACATCCAGCTTGGGCTCAGCAAATAGAGGAAGGAACTCATCATTTTTGGGTGGGCAAAGATACCTCTACTACTACAATAAGGTAGGGAATGTGTTTCTTGAAGCATTTCAAGAGTTTGTTTTAGAATGTGTTTGTGGGTGGGTGCTTGCATGCATATCTGAGTTAGTGTAGGTTATTTTATTACTTATTAGGTTTATCTATCCCTCATCTCTTTCACACAAGAGTCCCAAATAAACTTCAGAATGTGTGAATGGGTTATTCAGTATCCTAATAGCCATGAATAAGACCCAAACTCAGGATTAGAGCAACTGCAATCCAAAACATTCTTCATCCATCCACAGTTTATTCTATTTTGGTATCTTGGTACTTTATCAAGGTCTTTTTCTCCTGTGCTGTTTTT